GGTGATTCAATGCCTAATAAAATTTATTATAAGTGTATTAAAAATCTTTTAGTGTCTATAATATCTCTTTTTAGATGTAATGGTTAAACTATTAAATTAATATTAAACAAGTTTACATAAAATTAAAAAATCAAAATCCAAACTTCTCAACACGATTCATGAAAATGAAACTTCCTGAAACTGGCGGAACTATAAATAATAAGTCTTGCGGTTCTATCTTTAGAACTGTATGGATCTCCTCCCACTTTTATCTGGTCTCCTCTCTTAGGCTCGATCGCTCTCCATCATGCGTCTCGTAATCTACGTTTTTAAATTTATCTTAATCATCAACATTGCAACAAACTCTTACCCTGGTAAGTGATTTACAAAGATCTCTGGAGCTAAAAGTCAGTGCTGGTTTTGCTTGCAGTTTGTTGGATTGGGGGTTTGGCATGGAAGGGGAAGGGGGCCTCCACAAACCCTCATTCCCTTTATTTCCAGTTTGGGTGAGGTTTTAATTTGCGGTCTCTCCATAATCTCTTTGTTTCACAAGTCAATTGTAGAATTAGGGTTTACAGAGAAGAATTAGGAATTAGGATAAATGTTGGGGAAGATTTGGATGTGAAACTCTGGGATCGGGGAAGAAGGTGTTGTGTGAGAAGTATTAATGGAGATATCTAAAGTTGGGGTGGGATTGTGTTTGTTGGAAATGTGAGTGAGTTTGAAAGTGGGTTTTACTGGGAGATTGATGAAGGCTCGAGAGTGAATTTTTGGAATGGTGTCTGGATAGGGGATCATAAGTTTCAGTACTTAGCTAAAGGAGGATAGGGTGACAGACAGGAATATGGAGGAATGGGCTTTGGGAGTGGAGGATGGAATGGAGATGGGGAGGCTAGGGCCTGAATGGGATTTAGGAGGACTTTGTGAGCAAGGTAGATGGGGTGGGTTTGAAGGAAAATATGGAAGATGTGTGGTGGTGGAAGTTTGATAGGGACACTGTCTATATGATAAAAAAGCTTATGAAGAGATGGTGAGAAAGGAGAGGGTGATAGAGAAAGATCTATTGAATAGATTGCTGAGAATTTGTTGGGTTAATTTGGTGGGGAGGATGCTATGTGTATCTTCTATAAGGAAGAAATGGAATGCGTTGATCATGCTATGAAGTGCAAGAACATCAAGAGGATATGGATGGATGTGCGTAGGTAGTGGGGGGTGGATTTTGTGTTAACCTACTTCAGTTAGGGAATTATGTTTGCAGATTGTGTATGGGATGTGTGGGAAAAAGGAAAGACATACGTTAGCTTTGGTGTTTTTGGGGGTCTTGTGGTACAGTTGTGGAGGAATGGTCAAATATTTCAAGAAGTGCAGATGCAAGAAGATTGATGGATTGAATTGATGCAAATGAAGCCTTTTCACCTGGTTCAATGGTAGAGCAAAAGGATGTAACTACACGTTTCAGGAATGGTGGGACAGCCTGTGACATTGTGTTATAGAATGGTTATGGTGGTGGGGGTGGGGGTTGGGGGGGGCATAATATCCCCTTTGTCTTATCATTTGCATAATTCAGCATCGGAGCATTGATTAGAGAACTCAACATACTTCCACTTCTAATATTTTTCATGTTTCCATTTTTAGAATGTAATCAGAATTCCATATTAGTATTTTAATACAAGTACGTTGATTTTCTTTTTCCTTATGCAGTGTTTGCTGTCAACAATGAAACACAAACTCAAATACAAACAAGCCATCCAGGTTCCTCGTCTTTGACTCTTTGTGCTGCTTGACTTATGATTACTTTATGAATGCAAGTATTGTTCTGTTGAATTTGTTTTGTATTTTTCATTTTTGTACTGTTTTCTTGAAGATTTGCAGTTTGATTGTGTAGTGTATACCATGTTATGTAAAAACTAGTTGTTTATTTAATTTTTATAATTAAAGGATAAAGATGTGAAATTGAAATTAAGTTAATTCTTCCCTTTCCTTTTAGTTGGGCAAATGTCTTAATTAATTTAATTGGACAAAAATTCTCTCTCCCCTCCTCTCCCCTCCACTCCTTTTCCTTCAAGCTAAACAAGCTCATCGGCACCATATTTATTCAATTACCTAAACTACCTGTTATTGACAAGGGTATCATCGTTGCCAATTTAATCCACCCAGTGCCGGATGTCCTTTGGTGTATGCATGTTTGTCCAATTGTAACAGATGTCTGAGGTATATTCCTCACATAAAGTGGATATGTGACAGAGCAAGCAATACATGCAATTGCGTCATTTTGAAAGGTGAACCTATGAAATCAGAGATCGAGGATCTTGAGGCTGCAGTAAGAGATTCCATCATTTCTTGAATAACATCCAGCTTTTAGTTCAACACCTTGTACAATTGTTTTAGTTAGCTAATGCACCAAGAATTTTCTTTGTTCTTGGCAGGCTATCAACCAACAATGGTGGGAAATTTGACAATGGTAAGTTCCTTGCTATCTAGTTATTAGATTTTGAGCACACATGACTCTTGAGCTCTATTTTTGAAGAAATTAGTAGTTCACTGTTAATGATTTTAAGTTGTGCAATTCAGTGCTGTTTGGATTGTATAATACATTTAATAAAATTTCAAACAGATAAAGAAAGAGAGAATCCTAGAGAATGAGTTAACAAATACTAGTAATAGGCAGCAACTTATTAGATAATCTGAATCTCAAAACTACCGAGGGTGATAAAACGACAAAACTTCTATTATTTCACTGCAGGGAGCAGAGCACCTCTGCTCTGAAGCCAACTGGGAGGAAAAAAAAAAGAAAAAAAAGACAGCACACACCGTTTGTCTCTATTGATCTAGATATTGATGATGTAGAGTACAAATATTGTTTACAGGTTAAATTAATACATTTTCTTTTCCTTTTTACAGGCTTCAGGGAGATTGCATGTGAACAGATTCTCAAACCTGGTGAGAGGGAAAGTTTTTTTTAACATTTTGGTTCTCTTCGTTTTTTTTTAATTTTTCTTTTGAAAAATGGCATTGGATTTCCTAATTTTAGGTTTATTGGACGTTGGAAATGGTATTTCAGATTTGAGTTTTCAGTTATGCAATACAGATTGTTATAAATTATGAACCCTATATAGGAGAGCCCCATGCACATTTAATATAGAAAACTGGCCACCCATTTAATAATTTAAGTTATGCAGTCTGGGATCTAAACTACTTAATACATTTCTGTTCAAATTTCAAGGGCATTGTAGGACGGACATTGAATACATTTTTTAGATTCATCACTAAAAACCATTACTTTGATTTTGTGTGTATTAACATTGCAAATAATGTGGAATTAAGATAAAATCAGATAATCTGGTTTTCATAAACTAGAAACCATTTAAACATCAGAACCTCAAGTTTAGTTTACAAAATAGGTTCAGTTTAGTCCAACTTTACAAAATATACATAGAGTAGAGTTTCTTATAAAGTATGCTAACTGAATATTGAAAGATAAGACAGTATAATTTTGTTAGAGTTCACAAACTTGTTTAGCCAAAGTTCAGGCTCTAGAACATACAACTTGGTCCAGGGAAAAGCTCCTAGTCTCCTGAGGTCCTTGTGCTCGCTCAAACTTAGCTAATGTGCAACATGTTAAACTGATTTGTGAGCTAATAAGCCCTTAAGTGGATGTTACTAACCATTCTATAACTAAAAAACAATTAATCATTTAGTAATAAATATAGGCATTTTCAATGTTTTCAAAGCCGAACCGGAGGTCAAATCGTTTTGACCTCTGGTTCGCGGTTTGAATGGTTCAACTGGTAAAACCGCCGGGTTATCAAATACTATAAATATATGAGTTTGCAAAAGATATCACACGGTGTAGGTGGGTTGCACCGGTAGATGGCTGATCTTTTATAAGAGAGATTTCGAGTTCAAGT